CTTCATCTATTCATACTCTAAACGGCTTTTTGATATTTTGTTTTTTTGCGTAATTGATGTTTACATTTTGTTTCATTTCCATAGCCACACTCTAGTAGTCCTCAGTGTAGGACTACTCTCTCTCTCACACACACCTACTTGTTTTACCTACTTTGCGGGGACCAGCAGAAAAAACAGGAACAAAGCTGTTTTTGTACCGTGTCGTTTTACACTCGGAACTGCAAACCTCCGGCCAGAGGGAAGAAGCGAAAAGTAGCAGTGCAGGGGATGGGAGTAGCTTTCCTCTGTACCTATCTACTGTACAGGGTAGCCATACTTGGCCGAGACTCCCCTAGCAACCGGCTAGACCACTTAACTACTTGATCTAAGGATTTCCTCTGTCTTAGAGATATCTGACCAAACCATGACACCAAAGAAAACGATAAAATAGATGCAATAAAAGCTTGATAAAACATATTCATTGAGGTTCGGTCAATATGAAAGTGTGCAAGTTTCCTTAAACAGTGTAGATGTTGCTGACCCTTTTTGCACACCCTTTCACAATTTTCTTCAACTCAATGTACTATCAGTGATCGTCCCTAGGTATTTATATGATTTCACAGACTCAAGAGTCTGCCCTTTAAAGTAACTCCCTGCCTTTGAGGTTTCCTCCTGAAATCAATAAGCATATCTTGGGTTTTTATTATGTTTAGTTGCAGGTAGGATTCCTCACACCAGCCTACAAAATCATCAACAACTGGGCCATGGCTATTTTCACCGTCCCTAAGACTAACAATAACTGCATCATCAGCATACTTTATGATGGTTCTATTGTCCCATCTACTCTGACACATATTTGTATAGAGAATAAAGAGTAATGGTGACAACACACACCCTTGGGGAGATCCAGTAGAAGACCCCTTTTGGTCAGACAAAACACTGTTGACCCTGATTCTCTGTGTCTGGTTAGTTAAAAAAAATCCAACCCGCCAGATTTTTACTCACATTAAATTGTTGTAAGAGCCTATCAATTAAAATGTGAGGCTGAATTGTATTAAAAGCAGAAGAAAAATCCACAA